ATGTTCTTCCTTGAGCTGCGAAACTCCGCTAGTGGCCTTTTGGTCGCGTGAAGAAGTAGACCGCTGTGTATTACTATCCTGCAGTCGTTACTAAAGTTGATATAACTAGAGAAGCAAGCAGATGGCAACATTCATCTCTTGAGGGGGTGTCTAACTTGGTGTTACGCTGTGTTTGACCCTAACTTAATGCCATTGACAGAGTTTGCTACACTCATGCAATCAAAATACTAATATAAAATTCAGAGAAATCAAACCCATGTCCAAAAGAGATACCAAATAGTCTGAATTTTGAACACTCAATCTGGTGGTTTGTGTAAGTGAGTAATACATCTGCATAAATGTGTCTAAAGTGAGGGCAAATAAGTCCATGCAACAGACATGAATAATGACGGAAATAAACTTGTATGACCTTAAAAATTATACAGCTTATCCAAGTTGATGTTAACATCCACATCTATCCAAATCCCACTAACACAGTTCTGAGTAATCTGACAGTAAAACCTTTGCACATTATTCCCTGCAGAGTCCCGACTGACCACCCTGACCCGCGTGCCATTTCCCCCACAACAGCTCAGACCACAGTCTTGAAAACCAGCTGCCATGGCTGAACGGAGCTTATAATAGGGTTTTCAATCAGGCAGTGTGTTTCTGGCTTACTGGAAAACAGTAGCACCAGCAGCCGCCGCACACATCGGCGGGTTTGGGAGAAGTCAGAGGGTCTTCATTAGAGCCAGACCGCAGAGTGAGGAGAGGGAGGGAGGGAGACCTGGTCCCCCCTGGTCTCTCTGGGCTAAGGCGGCTTTGTCAGCCTTTTCTTTGTAATTACAGCAGACCTCTTCCTCCTCCTCCTCCTCCTCCTCCCACTGTAATTAACAGTAAGAGTATGTGTGCAGTAATTCAGCCTCCTGCTTTGTCATGCTGTTGTGTTTTCTGCACCATGGCTGAGGCTAGCTGGACCATATGTCATGGTCCTGCAGTGTAAAATGTGTTAAATATAATAATGATCAACTGTGTGTATGTACAGAAAATTGTAGGGCTGGGTGATATGACCCAAAAAATAAATCTATGATTTTTTTTTTTTTAGTTTTTTTCACCAAACTTAATTTACAATTTTAATTAATTTTTCTATTCTTCTCAAAAAAAAAAAAAATGCCACAACTAGCAAAAAGACAACAATTCAGCTCTAGTGCTAACCACCTTGTGGTTATCTCATAAGTATGCTGTTAGGAGGGTTCCTTCACAGTTGGAATATCCATACTTCTCCATTTCCTTATTTTTGGAAATACCTAATTTTCTATTTTAGGAAACAGTATTTTATAACTGTGGTAATATAGTCTGTTAACAAAAATATTTTTCAGTACTTTATTTTTCATTTACTATCCTTCTAAGACCTGGAAATGATCATATTACTTCCATACTTGTGTAGGAACCCTGTGTCAGGAGGTAAACACTTCAATCATGCTATGTTTACATGAATGATCCCTTTACGTTATTTAATAGCAATTTATAATACTCTCACCGTAAAAAAAGTAAAGAAAAAAAGTTGAGTGAGAAATTTTAACTCTTAGTTAGACAATTGATTCTGCTTATGTTGGTTGTTTTTAGCCTGCAAGTGTGAAGGTTGAGCCTGTTGACTGTATATACTGTGGACAACTTGGTTCCGCCTTCCATCATAATACGAATATGAAGCCTAAGTGCTCTCGGTATGTCCAGCATTTTCTCCACTTGCGCAGTAGCATTGAATGCATTCGGCGAAAGAGTCACCATGAGTCGCTATGATGATACTCGGGTGAGCTACGCAATCTTCGTACGCCCATAGGCTGTATCAAGTGTCAATCATAGAAAACATGAACCCCCTACTAACTTTTAAAAATTGAGCTGCAAAGAAAAAAGAGGACTTGAGGACAAACCAGTCTTACAGTAACTACATGTCACCATCGTAACAAGGGGGGAGAAAATGTATATTCTGTGTAAGTAATTCTTAAGTTTGTCCACAGCTCCATAAGGATGGCTGGCGGAGGCGGGATTTATGACCTATACTGCAGCCCGTCACCAAAGGGTGCTTTTCTGTGGCTTCAACTAGCGAGGAGGCAGACGGCGTCCATTCTATATACAGTAGGCCTGGACGATATAGAAAAAAAGCATATCGATAAAAAATAAATCATATTGATCGATATCGATAATTATCGATATAATTGTTATAATTATTTAACATATATTTTAATTGCAGCCCTGGATGTTTTATGCTATTGCTTAATGACCTACTTTTAATAAAGAACACACAAGCACTGAATTCAAATTCAAACCTTTATTCAACCACCTTTTTTATTTTACCACAACTGAAAGTTTTTTAAAAAAGAACTTAAAAAAAAAAAAGAAATCAACTTAAGTGGCCTGAGTGACGTCAGTAAATACTGACAAACATAAAGACTAAAGTGACCAGAAAATCTGATAAATAAATATTTAAATAGTCTTTTGATGAAAATAAACAAATATATAAATAAACAGAATAGCTTTAGGTGGGAATAGCATACTACCAGTTTTAACTGTGTGGGAAACTGCCCACAGCCTGGTGTCTGAACACTGAAATATTTCTCCCGGGGTCGGGAGATTTATTTTTTTTTTTATTATCATGTGATTGACTTAATACACAAACTAAGCACGAGAAGCAGGACTTATCCGCGCCGGTGTTGTGTCGTAGAATGCACCCCTGCCGAATGCACCCCCTGCTAGTAGCCATGATCCAAATACTCGCGTCTTTGTAAAATATGAGCTCCTTTTCTTCCACTTTAAGAAGCTACACCGGAACGTATTTCCTCCGCACCCTTCTCACCTTTTCAACCCCTGACCCATTTTCATGCCTGAAGCGCTGTGTTTGAGAAATACTTGCGGCCGGACACTTCATATCGCGGGTCGAGAGTGGCTAGAAGCTGGTCGAAGCCAGGCTTTTCAACGGTAGTTATTGGCAGTATGTCCCTCGCTATGGAGCATGTTACTGCATGGGTGATGTCCTTATGCCGCTCGGACGCTTTGTCGTATTTTGAAAAGAAACGAAGTCCAGTTTGGTCTGCTTCACATGCTTCGTGCTGGTGCTGGCAGCGGTTCCAGAGGATTCCTCCGACGATGACGTGGAGCTGCGGCGCGGCCGACACAGCTCGTACTCCTGCGGGTGCGATCGGTTTAGATGGTAAAACAAGTTGGTTGTGTTACCAGACTTCGTTTTTACTAATTCTCTGCAAATTTTGCAAATGACCGCTGTTCGCTTTTTGTCAGACTTCTAAAAACCAAAACATTGCCATGCTGGTGAACTACTGAAACCTTTTTTCGGGACAATGTCCTCCGCTTCTCCTTGCTGTATCATTTTTTCTAATACACGTGCTGTCTGTTGTTGTTTGAGAGGGGCTGGGCTTGGTGCCGTAGCGTACCTGGGTCTGCGTTTGTGATTGGTTGGGAGGAAGTAATGACTGTAGTAAAAGTTACATGATAGGCTATGATGAAAAAGAAAGGGAAACTGTGTTTTTCTATCGAACTTTTTATCGACCCGTTTTTTTTCTATCGCACCACACGTCTATCGATCGATATATATTGTTATCGAATTATCGTCCAGCACTAATATACAGTCTACGTTTGAGCCCTTGACAGTCCCAGACTGATTTTGCTTATTAATATTATAAATATAATATCAAAGTAACAGAGCAAGAAAAGATCTCCCATAGCTCTCTGTCTTTAAGTTCATGATTGTTTAAAAGTCACGGCTTGGTAACTCCAGCCCAGATAATCCAAGGACAACCAATGACAAAGTCTGTGCCTCTCGTGTTGTTCTATCACAATCAGATAATACGCTTTCAGCCGCAGATGCAGAGGGTCTTGTAGTATTAAAAGGGTCTGTTCAGAGAGGCTTGATAGGAGTGAGGAAAGGTTACGACTTGTATGAGTAGTGAAGATGTTAGTGCCTGAGTTGTATGATACTGATCACAGAGGTCTCACAGACCCTCTTAAGATTATTAGAAGGGGTGAATCTATTTATTTTCAACTGATGAGTGTGAACAAATGTTGCTCTGCTATCCTGCACCGACAAGTCTAGACAGAGACGGCTGCCTTTGAGACGCTCTCTGCATGCAAACTATGTTTTGATGTGGCGAGGAAGAGCAGTGATTGCCTAATCATGTAGAGACGATGACAGGAGGACCCGGGTCGGCGTGCTTGATGCAAGAGGGTGCAGCACAGGCCAGACATACCCAAAGGGACATCTTAGTTAATACGAGGTGGGTGTGTTCCATCTACCTCTTGTACGTCTTTACTCTCCGGCTGTCCTTCAGTGAGCTGAGAATTACAAAACTCATCCCCTGAGTTTTTAGCTTCCACTACTACTCAATCTTGTCACTTTCAAAACAAGACTCTGATTGGATGATATTTTTAACCTGTTTGTCCAAAGGTCCTTGGCATATTGAAGAAAGAAAAAAGAGAGAGAGAGAGAGATGATCAGGAAGAAAGATGAGCCGTCATCAAAACACATTTGTGTCAGGCGGTGTCTGATGTGTTGCAGTAATCTATGAGAGCACTTATGTCTGTGACATGATGGGGCATTCATCACATTCTTCCTCCGTCTGTGGCAGCAGACGAATTTCAATGTGACACCTGGGGTATACATCACAGTGGACGTTGTTTTCACGGCACCGAGAGGCACGTTCAAGACATTCACCTCGCTTTTTGAAGACCCTTAAGGCTAAAACATACAGGCTCTGATATTGACTAATTAACTGGATCGGATATCTGATGAATGACGCCGATCCAGATGTACGGAACCCGCTTAATACGGATCCTGTTTAACGTGTAGCAGTGCCAATGTCAGGACGGGGGGCGTGGTGTGTGACGTGCCAGCACAGCCATTTTAACAGACATAACAACACTACGCGCACCGGAATGAATGGAATTAGGATGATGTTCAGTTCTAAAAAACAACTATTTATTAGCTGACTGCACAGTAAATGGAGAACGGAATGGAGAGGTCAAAACTTGGACTCAACATACCGTACAGGGACAAGCTGAACGATGAAGAAAGAGAGCGTTACCTTAGCAAAATTGCGGACATTGCTGGACTCGACCCATATGAACACACTGTATGGTCAGAAGATGATTTCGAGATACTACCACCGCTTAACTGAGTGCATTTGATGCAGCACCTCATTGAAGGAACAAGCTATTATACATTTAGTTTGTTCCATAATAAAAAGTCTCTCTTGGCCCACATTTTGGGTACATAAACTGCAGATGCACAGTGTCAACAACAAAACCATCACTCACACAATGGTAGGTGATCACACACAAACACGTCTGCCTTTCTTTCTCGCTCTCTTTCTCTCTCACAAACACACACACAAGCACACACCTGCTCCATGTTTTCTCTTCCATGTAGGAAAGCAGAAAAAACATACTTTTTCCAAAAGTTTCCCTCGATGTGCTCTCCTGTTATAGCACTTGTGAACGCAGCAAATATCCACCATTGTAAGTTAATAACTTCGAGAAAAAACGAACATGAAAGAATCACAGTGTACATGTCTCTCTATTGATGCTGATAGTTCCTTCCTGACAAAATGGCAGCAGCAAATGTTGACACCCCTTTTTCAGATATTGGTACGCCCTATACAATACCAAATGCTACTCTACAGAGCAAATACGGAACACACTCAATACAGATCCTGTATATTTTCGGCTTTAGTGTTGGCATCAGGATGCATAAGCACGGCTCTGGCAAAGAAACCAGGATGTCAACAAAAGCTGGGCTCAAAGAGAGGTTGTCAAAATCCCTCTAAAACCACCTTAAAGTGTCTGTTATGTTCTGTTGGTTAACCCCGGCTCAGGTCAGAGACTGTAAACATCTGCGCTGAAATGCCGACGTCTAGACAACACAGAGTAGTAAAGCTGTGGCTGTGGGCCAGGTAAACATTAACCACAGCTCCAACACACAACCTGTTCAGTCTGGAGAAGTACTTATCTCTGTAAACGACACAATATCATTTTCCACCGTCCTTGGAGTTTTTTATTACCTCTCAGAGACTCTGAGGCTCTAATTAAAGCTCGAGTTGTGTCCCTTCAGCTACCTTTTTATTTCTATAAACCAGAAACCCTGCCCTCTTAGTATTCCTCTACAGACAAGGCACTTCCTCCAGTTGTCAACACGATGCTGCCAATAGCCGTCAATTCTGCGTTAGAACGATGTGATAAATGTCTGCTGAGATGTTTGTGTAACCACGCTGTGAGAGTGCTGATAGTGTGTCAAAGACAGACTCCAGACTGATACAAGGAGTAACTGTAACAGAGCCGTTCTTTCTGAATGTCTTCTTGCCTTTTCGTATAAGAAACAACCAATACTGTCTTTATAGATTATTGAACGAGTCACAGATGCGAGCGAACCTAAACCCCAGCAGCTTTTTTTGTCGAAGGAAAGCAGTCGCTACAAGTCCTTTGACCAAAAATCAAAATGTAAAGCTTGTGCATACAATAAAACTACTCTAAGAGTGTTATTTTTGATAAGGGGTATCTGATAAACAATATGTTTACACAGTAGGTTCAGTTTTACCATGTCTTTCACAAGTTTTCAGTCACAGAGAAGACTGTTAAAGTGTATTCTGACTTTTATGCACCATTGTCATTATAGAATTGTCATTGCACAGCATGATCCTACCTTAAGGCAGATGCGGTAGTTCATCCGACAGTTTCAAGGATGCTGTGGATTCAAGTCCCTGGAACTCCAGCTTGGACGCTCGCCGTTTACAGGTGTCACCAGATCTTCCTCACTGGATCTTCTCATCAGTCAAAGCCTCACCTACATAAAGAAAAATGTAGGCCATAAAACCATTTTGAATAAATGTCATCTTGAGATTGTCTTTAAATACAAGTCAGTGCTATCTGACAAAAACGTTAACTAAACATGTTAAATTTAGGCTGTTCCCTGTCTGTATTCTGAGCAGACATGTATTGCTAGTTAACTGTTTAGTATTTGATCGATGAGGCACAGTAGTATATTTCCAGCTGAATAAAAGTATTTTACCAACTACTGTAAGTAAACAAAATAGTTTGGAGCTCTTTAGTAAACATTTTTTCCAAGTCTTGACCAATTCTTACACTGACAGTTCCTTGAGAAATATACAAAAGTTAATAATCTGTAGAAAAATATTGTAAGGACACAGAGTACCAAGCAATGCATATGAGCAGAAGCGGAGAGTGGGTTAAGATCAGCCATTTTTTCTTTTACCATTTCCAAGAAACAGGGGGTGGCTAAACTTACCCCAGTTGCCTCTACTTGCAATGAGGGGGGATGATGAAAACGGACAAAATTATCCCCCTTCTAAAACGGTCATCCCAGCTTTACATCCTTTGAGCCATTTTTGTCACTTAATGTGTAAATATTACTACTATTTTTACATTAGAAATGTAACCGCCATTTTAACGTTTAGCGGATGTGACGGAGCGGCGTCCTCACTGACTGCGGGAAGCGCGCGGAGCCACACAAACACGTCAAACATTGACGCCAGCGTCGCTAATTCCCCACTAAACAGCGCTGCTTTTCCTTCTCCCGTCTCTGTTGGATAGGGAAACCGAGGGTGCACACTTGGAGCTCTGTAAGTTAACTTTATCATACATTCACACAGACATTCATACCTTCACTTACTTGCCGCGCGCCCATTCATTCACGCGATCATCCCGGCTCAGGTGTCCAAACGAGGAAACAGATCGCGCGATTTCCGGGTGTAAAATAGATAGGTACGGCGGGTCAAAGTGGCCACATGATACAAGAAAAATTAATTCTCTCCTGTTGATTTGGATACAAACTTATAGAAAAAGGCCTGAAGGTTAAAAATGGTTTAAATGTGAATAAAACTTAAAAGCTGCCATAAGTACGACAAGCCATGGTGGAAACACAGACAACAGCCATCCACAGTTTTAGCACAGAAGGGCTAAAATAAGGTTCCTATGGCTGGAGAACTATTCTGTATTATCATTGGAAATGGTTCTCAAAGCACCGATGATTTAAAACCTGCTTTTGTTTTGCAGTTAGGAGCCTCCATGCTGAATCTTTACGACCGTTTAAGATAAAAAGATCTGTCTCTCACTTCTAGGCCTTGAAAAACACGAACCCCTAAAAAAAGCAGTAAATGAGCAATTACCCAACAGCCTTGTTCAGACAAACCCGCTGTGAATTTATGGCTCCATTCACTGTCAACAGTCTAAAAATTAAATTACCCCAAATGACAAGAAATAAATAAATTACTCAGTGAAGTGTGAGAGATAATCATGTGTACACCAAACACTCACATTAGAGCCCAGACGTGAGACAGCCACGATAACTTATCTTTAAACCGATCCAGATCTCGTGGTCTGATGAAAATGCGAATTGATATCACCTGTGTTTGTTTACGCTCTGCACTATTTTCACAAATGACGGTCTCTCCCTATAAGCTCGCCAAAAAATTTACAGCGCGCACGAGCTGTCAGGGATACAGCTGTTTATTGGATTTGTTTGTTGACGCCATTGTAACACTGATGATCAGCGCATGGATTACACCCGTTTGACAGCTCTGTGTGACAAATCAGTCGAGGCGCTTTCTGCATGAATGGGACTGAGTCAAAGTGTAATCCGTGTAGCACAAACAGAATCTGTGATTTATTACAGGTCTGTGTTTTTCTTCGTGACTCTTAGAGGGGAAGAATAAATCTCTGACCTCTTTTATTGGTTCGTTGCAGTCCTGCGTGTGTCCCGCTGATTAGCACGACATCGTTTGATTCTTTTTCATATCACACACCAGTTTCCCTCGTAGTTAAGGTTCAAAGCGACCTATTTAATGAGAATTTTCAACAAAAACACACCAGAATTGAATCAATGGACTTTATTTTTATGCTTTCAGAGGCACGGACACAGAAAAGAGGGTGATGACAGGAAAAGCTGCTTCCTGTCCAGACAGCGTGGATGGGGAGATGTGCTGATGTGGAACATGGCCCGAAGCACATCCCTGCCTCTCTGCACGCCGCCCATTATCTCCTATAGGGTACAAAGCAACCCTGCTATGGCGAGCATTTCCTGCTTCCTCTCCCCGTCGCACAGTCAGGTACGTGCATGAGTCCGTCACATGACTTTCCACTACAACGCAGCTGGAGAGCAGAGGGCGGAGGAGAGCATCTCGCCAGGTCCAGACCTCCAGATTTAGTGGGCAGGAAGTGTTGTCGAAGAACAAAGCAAGTCTATGTTTGTAACAGGCTCAGTGAGGGTGTGAAATGTTGGAAAATATCTTAAAAATTCGGTCTAACCTCATTTTAACTCGGCTGGATTCAGTTCAATAGAAAGCATCTACTGACACACAGTTAAAGACTCGGCAGGAGTTGTCTTATAGTCCGATTTCAGTGGAAAGGTTTCAACCGTAAATAAAACTATGGCACTAAAGATGGTTTTTATTTACCAATCTAATAAAACTGAAGTCTATGATATAAAAAGCAATAAAAGGCATCATTTTCTATTGTTATGTGTTGCGAATTTCTGACTCCTCAGAAGTGCTGCCATGAAAATCCTGCGAGTAAACCTCAGTCTAAACACAAAGTAAATTTCAGGAGTGCCACATTCTCATTAAATCAGCGAAATAAAGACAAATGGATGCAAATGTTTTATAGGCGTAAACCGAGGCGAGTTAAAAGAGAATTTCAAAACGTACTCCAGCTTAAGAAACCTTCAGTTTGAGCCAAAAATTCTCCCTCATGCTGAGATTTTGAAAACAGCTCATGAATGTAGAAGAAGGAAAAGAAAACTGAGAAGAGGAAAGAGAAAACAAAAGTTCTCTGTCACAGAGCTTCATTGAGAACATTGAGAGTTACCTCGGAGGTCAGAAGTACGAGCTGAAAATGACGTCACACCCGAGTTCCCAGCAAACTCGGAGGCTTGAAACAAAATGGCTACATCTACAGAAGTCATTTTAGCGTTTGCCTCCTATTCGGACAAGGCAAGCGCTAAAATAACTTTCGTAGATCTAGCCATCTTGTTTCCGCCTCCGATTTTGCTTTATTCCGACTTGGTAACTGAAACGCTGGTAACTAGGGTGTGACGTGATTTTCAGCTTGTACTTCTGACTTCTGAGAAAACTCAAACGCAGCATTAGCCTCCTGCTAGCTAGTCTGTCACAATGCCGGCTAGTTTCTGAAATCGATCGGTAGTTTTAATAAAGTTTAATAAAGGTGACGTAAATTTGCACTAGCGCAGTATGGATCCGGTAGGTAGCATTAGTAATGACTAACTGCTGTAAAATGCATTGAAATACGAGGAGAAGAAGTGACGTACGTTTGGCATTCTCGCAGCACAAATCGGGTTTCCGGGACAGATCGGGTAGCGACATTCAAGATAAAAAAAAGAAAAAAGATTAGATTCAAAATTCAGACAAGGTCTTCATCTAAATGAACTCCATGAGAAAGTGTGAAAACACTTGTCAACACCCTATTGAATGAAAGATTTCAAAAACGTATGTTGTGTTGTGGATGTTTTTTGTAAAACATGCTGCCGATGATTGTCCAAAAGTCACTCACATAGAAGGTAAATGTTAGGAAATATAAGGTAGTACATGCTGCTGTGTGTATAATGAGAGGAAAACATGATTCTCAGTCTCCTCCTCATATTAAGGAATTCAAGTTTTGTATACAGAAGCCCAGGTATTAGTATTAGTGCGTGTCTAACAGTCACAGAAAGCGGTGGTATTCATGGGTAGATTAAACTTAGTTTCACCTGCTGTACAAACACACAGGTACAAAATGTACAGGTGCACTTCAGAGTTTCCAGCTTATGCTCCACTTGCTCGATGTACATATAGTGCGCATAGGCTTTTAGTGATACAGAAAGCATTGCATCAACAGTCCTTGTCGTACTCCTTGCACCACCTTTAGATCAGAATCCTTTTAGTAATAACTTTCTTGGTTGTTGGTGACCCAGTTGTCTTTTCACACGACGGATATAAAAGAGTAACTTCAACATGTCCGTGAATCGAGTCGGTTTTTCACAGGTGACTCAGTCCCGCTCTGAAGGCTGAAAAAGTGGACGGACTGTTTTGCCAAAACAAAAAAAAAAAGCAAAACAGCCACTTTGTTTGAACACTTTGCCGAAAGCACATCTCTCCCTAACGCACAGCTCGGGCCCGAACAAAACATTTTTCTTTTTATGCATCTGACACTGCCGTCCGTCTGCTGCCTGGCTCGGCTTAGCTTGATGCATCTGTTTGTGGGGAGAAAAAATAAAACACCTGCATATCTCTCTCCCAGCTGAATAGCTCAGAAGTGCTGCCAAGTAGAACTGGACAGATGTGGGGACTGGAATCTGCAGCAGACAACTCCATCACTCTCTCAACTCATCCCCTGTATATAAATCTCTGTCTATCACCGCTGCTGCAGTCGTCCTCTGAAGCCCATTTGTTTTTGTCGGCTGAAAAGGGCGTCAGAGAAGGGCATTTGGAAGTGAAAACGTGAAGACAAAAGGGCTGCCGCTGCTCTACATGCTGTGCACCGTAGGTCAGGAGCTACATGTGTGGTCCATCACGCGTTGACGTGTTCCCCGTCCTATGCGGCGGTGCACAGCCATTGCCACGTTAGGCTAATGATGTGTCTACCCCTTAAAATGTGCTCTCGTTCAGCAGGGATCTGAGTCACTAAGGAAGTCAATGAGGACAAGCTATCATAAACCAATTCCCCAAAACCACCCCTGTCCCAAACTATATCCTACATCACTGTCAAATGTGGTATTTTCCCTTTCACTGTGCACACCAGTCCAGAGAAGGACAGTGATGTTCACATTCACAGGTTTGTTTTGGATTTTAAAATAAACCTGTTTTAGAAAATGAACTTTCCTGGAAAACCCAAATCTCTCTGTCTTTTCTTTTCTGTCTTCTCCTCTCAGGCTTCACTGCCACACAAACCTAAACACAGCATTCATCTAATTAAAGCAAAATATTTGCTGGCAAGTGGAATCCAAAAAAAAGAAGATCTCCAAACCATATGTACGGCCCAAGCTTTTACACAGATTGTCCTTGAGCCTTTTATTTAACTGTTGGATGTTTGTCCGGGCTCGTTTCTCCGGTTGGGTCACAGAGTTCAACGTTATAAACTCGCCACGTTAAGTTTACGAGTCAAGTTTTATTTTTATTGTTTTGGCCATCAGTTCTGATATTGTCGTACTCGCACAGTTGCAAGCAACGTTGTGGGGATGCATCTCGAAAAGGAAGGCAGACAGTACGACTAACATGACGGCCTGATAGTCAAACCTGTTGTTCACATCCACATCCTCAAGCCTTAAATTGCATTCCATTGAAAGTGACTTTTAAATTAATAAAGATCTATTGATTTAAATTTTTAGTCTGATTAAATGTATGCCTAAAGACATGCTGGCTCTTGCCGTCCTTAAGTTTAAAACAATGTTTTTAATAACACAATTCTCATGATTCCTTTTGAACAATTATATCAAAACCTTCCTGCGATGTATAGCCTTTAGATAAATGTCTGTTTTATGAAGGTTTGACATGTTTTAATAGTGTTTTGACTTCTTTGTACGTATATTTATTTTGGTTATGCTTTCTTTTACCGTACACTTATTATCAGGTAATTAACAAGTAATTACCTCGTAACAACATGAAATTATCTTGTAATTACATGATAACTACTAAGTCAATACTGTCTCGCTACCAGGTAGGTAACCTTCCATCATCATACAAATTTTAAGCCGAATTGCTCTGGTATTTCCAGGATTTTCTCCGCTTCCTGGAACCACCACTTGCGCAGTAGCATTGTACGCATTCAGCGGGTGAGTCGCTGTGATAATGCTCGGCTTAAACAGCGTAATCGCTACGCAATCTTCGCTAGCCCATAGGCTGTATCAAGTGTCAATCATAGAAAATAAGAACCCCAAATAGCTTTTGAAAATGGAGCTGCACAGAAAGAAGAAATAAAGAAAAACTAGACAGTATTGACTTAGTACTTATCATGTAATTACCAGATAATTTCATGTTGTTACTAGGTAATTACCTGTTAATTACCTGGTAATAAGTGTACCGTAAAAGAAAGCGTTACCGTAGCCCTTTGAGGTCGCTTGATGTAAAGGGCACTACAAATAAAATATTATTATTATTATTAATGTCTCAATTCTTAAAAATAACCAGGTATGTATAAACGGGGACTGAGTTCATGTGCATTTTCAACTGAAGAGGAATAACTTAAATTTTTGACTTTTGGTGTCAGGGAGACACTTTGTTTACACTTTTATCACATCAACAGTCTCTACCCTCCGATTGTTCTGAAGTTAGTTACGAGGCCGTTTAGCTCCCTCTATTTGAAACAGTAGAACTAATAACATGTTTGATTATGTGAACCAGATGTGGGAGATGGGAACCTGCCACCATTATTGCTGTTCACCCGTAATCCTGAGCGAAGGCTTCAACTATGAGGTGATGTATTTCACATTTCTGTTTCACACTCTATTTAGCGAGTCGGTGCGTTCGGCTGGTAAATATGCACTTTGGCACCGCTGTGGTCCCTTTGGGGTAATAGTTGAAAGTGAGTTTCTTGTTACAGTCTTGTGAATCAGAGGATGACATTCTTCACATTATTGTGCTCCTTTAAAGACATGATTACTTCTCGTATGTTGGGTCACAGCTGGGAAAAGTGTCGATCCTTTGACCTGTATATTGGATCTCCGGGCCAATAACGAGCGTGTTACATTCTTGGTTACTTCCCTGACTTGTCACTTGGTACTTATTAAATATTGGACATGAAGGGTGTGTGTGTGTGTGTGTGCGTGGGGGGAAAAGAGCGACTACAAAGGCATTATTCACTCTGAGAGACAGAGAGCGGGAATTAAATCCAGATTGGACTGAACCAACCGGGGTTGTTAGGCAGAGCGGGAGTTGAAAGCCCGCTCACTCGTGTCCAGAGAGGTGCTTTTTTGGACAGTTTTTGAAATGACATGTGAGGCAATGAAAGTCACAGCTACGGCGTGTGGTTCTGGTCACGGTCGTTTTAACCGCCTCTCCCCTCGCTTTCCTGTCTTCTGCTGAAGCATGAAAATAAAAACAACACGTCTACTTTGACAGGAATGTGGGGCTAATCAGAGCCAAAAGAGCCGCTGCTCGCTGCCTTCGTTTAGGTGTGCGGCTGGCATGTGAAGGGATTTATTCTTTCCTTATTTCTCTACATGATTCATGTTTCTTTTCTTTCCCAGTGTTTGACTTTGAATGTCAAATAAATGTTTAACTTAACAAAATCCAATTTTTGGTCAGTGATTGGTCATCTTCGAGGTTATTTACAAGTTCCTTAAATTACTGTTTAATATCTTCTTGTAGATTACTCTGTGAATCGAAAGATTTCACTCGTTTGTTAGCCTTACGTGACCCGCTCTATCCTTTAAAACCCCTCTGAGGTCTCCAAATATGTAAATGCGTACAAGTCATAAACACAATTATCGTTCCCATCTTCACAATTATATATGACGCGAACAAACACGAAATCTCTCGTCCCGGTTTCTGTTGTCTTAACAAAATAAGAAACGACTCATTCTTGCCGTTTATAAAGACTTTGAAATTTTCCTTTTCCTGGAAGCATTAGTCACGCTTAAACCAAGAGTTGGCAAATTTGACACCAAATCAAATTCGTTTTTTATTTGTTTGTTGACTTTTTCATTTGCTCTTTGTTAAAGTGAAACTGAGTGGATTCATTCTTCCCTTGTTATCACTGTAATCAAATACTTTACACATAAATATGGAAAAGTGTCACAGAGAACAAGACTTTCCAGAAAAAGACCAAAAACAATTTTGTGCAGATCAATCTCTCAGTGCTGTCTGAGCTCTTGTTCTTGTCTGTTGCTCTCAGAC